ACTTCAAGGGCAAAATTGGAAATTCCATTTTTAATTTAAATAAATTAGTGAATAGTCTTATTTTTGGTCCGGGATGTTACACCTATTGTACCGTCAATGCACAAGTGAAAGAATATTGAAGTCCTCTTAATTGAGGCATAGAAAAGAACTAATCCAAGCCAATATCCCCTTGGAGCACAATGGTTTGATTAGAGGTCGAGATTAGTGCACATCCAACACGTAATCATGCAAATACACACATTTCTATTGGGTCGCTTTCAATCCCAACAGTGGTACGCCTATGCAATCCAACAACTCAGAACCCAGAGAAGCAGCTCGATTTTCACCCATCAGCAGGGGTCGGGCCCGTTGCTCTTGTTCAAGCCTAATCCAACTTTCAATTGGATCACTTGGAGGTTCACTCACTGCAGAAACTAGCGGTTTCAACGTACAGATACACTCGGGGCATTGGTGTTGCACAGTCTACACCCCTGACGGAAAAAGACATCATGATGGTCAGCATTGCTTCCAGGCATTTTCGCTTTGCTTATACAATGGAATGCTGTACTCGGTTGGTGCTAACATGACACACAACTTTCTTATTGGGTTGGATCCATTCATGATGGTCAGCATCAACAAGAAGATTGAACAACATTATGAAAGTCGTTACATTGAATTGGATCCGCAGTCTTTGGTGAGAAAAATAAAGGCTCACAAACAAATTCCAAAACGCCTGAAATCTCTTGCTTCCTATTCCAGACTTTATATGGGGGATCCAACTTTCAATTGGATCACTTGGAGGTTCACTCACTGCAGAAACTAGCGGTTTCAACGTACAGATACACTCAGGGCATTGGTGTTGCACAGTCTACACCCCTGACGGAAAAAGACATCAATAAGAGGTTTCCAATTAATTGCTTCCAGGCATTTTCGCTTTGCTTATACAATGGAATGCTGTACTCGGTTGGTGCTAACATGACACACAACTTTCTTATTGGGTTGGATCCATTCATGATGGTCAGCATCAACAAGAAGATTGAACAACATTATGAAAGTCGTTACATTGAATTGGATCCGCAGTCTTTGGTGAGAAAAATAAAGGCTCACAAACAAATTCCAAAACGCCTGAAATCTCTTGCTTCCTATTCCAGACTTTATATGGGGGAAGGGAAGGGAAGGGAAGTAACTTGTTTAGGCTTCAGTTTATATGACTAATTTGATGGGTGGTAATGGTATTATGAGGATGTGATCTCAAAGCCAAGCAACCTTTTGAATTGAATAAATCCCACAAGGATCTCTCCTCAAAGCCCTGCCCAACAAGAACAACTTTATTCAACTGAAACAAAGTGCGTATTATTTATTTACCGCCAGAAAATCTGGAACCAGAACAAAAGAAGTATTCCTTGTTCAAACTGTTGCTAAACAAAAACGAATGGAAACCCATTTATGATATCATCAAGAATATTCACAACGACTCATCATGTGCTTTCAGAGAAATTTTTGTATATTCAGGGTACACCACGTGGCTAGTGTACCATCCAATACACATGGGACATGTGGAAATATTGTCAAATACACGTAGGACATAAAAATAAAATATTTCCACATGTCCCATGTGTATTGGATGGTACACCAGCCACGTGGTATACCCGAAACATGCAAAAATTACTCATGGTTTCATTATTTATCTATCAAAGAAGGGCAGGGCAACCACAAAATTGGAAACCCAATATGATACCACCAATCACTCACTCACTCACTGACTTTGTGAATAATTTACAGGGACTAACTAACTCTACACAAGAATGAGAAAGTTAAAATTAAAAGAATACCAAACTACATGGCCAATCATACCAAATCCTAATCCCACAAACACAGAAAAAAAAACCCCTGATAATTTTACAAGTTTCAATATCTCTTGATAAACACTACTAAGTAAAATGAACAAGCAATCTATTTGCTGCGAATATCATCATCAATTACCTCTCCTGTGACGGTGTTAAGCTCATAATTTCATACATATACATGCCCAAATTTACTTACTTCTTTTGCTTAGTTTCCTAAATTTCTATGTTATTTGCCTCTCTTTGTGTGTTTTGTAGGCAAAAAGAGCAAGAGAGCATAATTCATGCAATTCAAGCATGTTAAGGCCTAATTTGGATGAATCGATGAAGAGCTTAAAGACAAACTCATTTTGGCTACAGCCCCCTGCCAGTC